CCATGGAGCCCAATTGGTAATTCCTCTTATCATAGAAATGTAGACATCTCTGTGAAGCTCCAGCTCAAGGCCAGAGGCCTTGTTAAAAGCTTTGTCTTTTTTTTTTTAAATCACATTTAGCATTTACAAACACACTTTTACAACCTAATATATTGGATAAATGTTTGTGAAAAACTAGGAAAAGGGGTGTTCAGCACCTGGAGTGCCGATCTTTTCCAGGCCAGTGGCCAAGTAAAATAGAGCAACAGGAAAATAGGAAGTTTACCTACATTGAACTCTTTTAAGAGACTCATTTGCTGATAATCCTAAAATCAATTATGGTGAAGATTTCTGGAGAAGCTTAGTTAATATTTTCTGTGGAGGAGGGGGTGCCACTCTACACACACACATACCAGGGACTGGCTGGGGATGTAACTCAGTGATTTCAGTGTTAGAGCACTTGCCTAGCATATATGCATGGCCTGGATCCAATCCCCAGGAGGGAGGTGGAGATACAACCATAATAGGACCCAGGCCTTCTTGGGAGAGTGTTTCTTTTCTATCCTCAATAATAATCACTTTCCCCTCTCAATTTCTTCATAAATATTGTTCTATCTATTTATCTATCTATTTATCTTATATGAAGCAATATATTATTTGTTCAACTATAAATTCATTTGTTCAACAAGATAAAACTAAATTTTCAAATTATTGTTCTTCTTTATTTATTTATTAGTTCTAATAGCTATTTTTTTTGGGGGGGTGGAAGGCTTGTATCAAACCTAGGGCTTTATATATGCTAGGCAAGCACTCTACCACTGAGATACACACCAGGTCCTGAATGTCCCTTCCTTCCTCTTTGCTCAACCTCCTGTACCCTGATTATAGCAAACATTTCTTCAATAAAGCATTGGATTTGACTCTTTTTTGTCCAGTCACATTTTGACACAGTTGTTCATGCTTTAATCACCTCTATCATAAGAGAAGAATACATAGTATTGTAACAGCAATGAAGTAAGAATATGCATCAGAGCCAAAGGAAATTTCCTAGCATTTAATCTTGCTTCTTATGAGTTAAATTTCTTTTCCCTAATCATGCATTGTGGTCCTAACTTGTAGTACCTCAGAATGTGACTTTACTTGGAGACAGGGTCCTGGCAGATATAATTAAGATGAGTTCATACTAGAATATGGTGGGCCTTATAAAAGGGAAATTTTGGGAAAAACACATTCACAGGGAGAACACCGTACACATGATGGAAGATTCCAAGGCAAGGCCTCTACAAGACACAGAACTACCTGTAGTTAGATGAGAGGCCTGAACCAGATGCTTTCTTACAGCCTTTGGATGAAAACAACCTTGCTGACACCTGGATGTCAGACTTCCAGTCTCTACAATTGCAAGACAGGAAAGTTCTGCATTTTATGTCATGCAATTGTGGTACTTTGTATGGTAACTCTGGAAAACTAATACAGTGATATATTGCTATATAGCTTTTTTATATCCCACAAATGGAGTATATTATCATTGCACATACCATTTTTCCAACTTCATTTTTTTCACTAAATAATGTATTAATATTCTCTTTTGCCAGCACATTCAATTTTACTTCATTTTAAAAATATTTTTTAAATTTTGTTTTGTTTTGTTTTTTGGTACCAATGATTGAAACCAGGAACCCGGAGGTGCTTAAACACTGAGTCACATCCCCAGCCCTTTTTATATGTTATTTAGAGACAGAGTCTTGTTGAGTTGCTCAGAGTCTTGCTAAGCTGCTGAGACTGTTTCTGAACTCATGATCCTCCTGCCTCAGCTTCCAGAGCTGCTGGGATTATAGGTATGGGCTGTGGTACCTGGTAGAGAATTTTTTTGTTTAGTTGCCCAGTCTGGCCTCAAACTTGTCATCCTCCTGCCTCAGTCTCCTGAATAGCTGGGATTATGGGATTACAGGTGAGCAACACCAGACCAGGTAAGTTTTACTTTATTTTTAAAACATGGCTGTCTTGCCTGGGCCTATTGTTTTTCTCTTAAAATGTTATTTACTTTTTAAGATGTAAATATGTTAGGCTTTCAAAGTATATAAAAATAAAATACTTTTATACAGTTGGTCTCATCTTCAGTGGCTTCTAGATTTTGTTCTTTTTTACAAAGATCTTCCGCACACCAACATTATAAAGATAATTGCACATTTCTATGATTTTTTCCTTTATAAAGATTTGATAATAAATCTACCTGGAATGAATTTTACTTTATGGTATGAAATGAGGATTTCATTTTCCCTCCAAATAGTCAAATTTTCTAATGCCATATATTAAATGTTATATCCTGTCCTCCACTTATTTGTGAATTTCTATACTTTCAGAAATTTGTTTCTGTGAATTTTATTTTTGCCCTATTTATATATGCTTGCATAAAAAACACTGAAATTATAGATTCAATTGACACATAATAGGATATATCCCTCATATATTGTATTTTGATAGTGGAATTTATAGTGCTCTTATCTTTTTGTGACTCACCTTCTAAACATATTATTTAGTATGAAAATATTAAATACTAGATATACATTAGTTATAAAGTATGATCATGAAATACAGATCTATTCCAACCAGAAAATTAAAATTGTTATTAAATTACTAAGTTAAAATAATTTTAATGAGTATTGAAATACAATTTGATTACATTTATATTTATTAAATAATTATAAAATATCATTTTATGTGTAAATTTATACAAAAGTTATAAAAAATGTAAATATATATCTGAATGAAAATAAATTTAAATTAACAAAATTCATTAATGTTATTTAGATATCAATATGCACCCATTTACATTTAGTTCTATGCAATTTGGTGGGTATATATAGTACTAGGGATCAAACCCAGGCCCTTGTACATGCTAGGGTACACGCCTAACATTATTTTCAAATTTTATTTATTTTATTTACTTATTTACTTGTTTTACTTATTTATTTATTTGGTACTGATTTAACTCAGAGACACTCGACCACTGAAACACCATCTCACTAAGTTGCTAAGGTTTGTCTTGAATTTGCGATCCTCCAGCCTTAGCCTCCCAAGTAGATGGGATTACAGGCATGCAACATTGCACCCAGCCCTCCCACGTACTTTAAATCAAGCTCAATTTTCTAATAATACTGCCCTCCCATGCACTTTAAATCACACTAGATTTCTTATGATACCTAACACAACCAAAATGCTTTGCAAATAGTTGTTATCCTATATTGTTTATGGAATAACATCAAAGGAGTAAAAGATTGTGCATGTTCAGTACAGGTATAATTTTTTTTTCAAATATTTGTTAGCCCTGGTTGGTTGAATCCTTGAATATGGAAACTGCTAATAGAGCTGACCATATTTTCAAACCTCCTCCTCATTCATTGCTTTTCCTCCTCCACCATGCTTGGAATGCCTCTTCCATCTCTTAAATGGAAAATTAGCTCCTCTCATCTCAAGCTCCTGTTTGGGAAAGTTCATGGCTTCCTGTTGCAGGTGAAGCAAATCCAGACACTTGTCCCTTCCAAAGGCCAGTGAAGCCCCGCATGCTGACCACTTTGTCTCCAACCACTCTTTACCACTCCCTCCTACACCCAGATTTGCTTTTGTCCCCATACAGACACTTACAGCTGAGCCTGTGTCCTGACATCAGGCCAGTGCATCCAGGCCAGCCTATCTCCACTCCACACCCAGGCCCCATCTCCCACCCACCACCAGGTCTATAATGTAGTGGATCAGTGGATCGAAATGCCAGTTTTCAGGTGCTCAGCCATCTGGGACTCTATTCTTCCTTTTACACCTTACACCAATAGCAAATCCCACTGACTCTAGCAAAGACCATGTCCCACCACCACATGGCTGCACCATCATTCCTCTCTTCAGGATCACTGAGGGGGCCTCTTCCTGCTTTGACACCGGCCCTTCTACATTCTAGTCACACAGGAACTGAGCAGAGTTTGAAAACCTGAATCTAATCACATATTGCTCTGCTCAAAACTTTCCCAAGGCTTCCCTTCTCACTCAACTTTAAAAAGCAAAAATTCTCACCAAGATTCACAAGGCCCTGTGAGACCTCACTCCAGGCTGTCCCTGCTCTGGCCACCAGGGACTTCTGGTGGGCCTGGAATTCTGCACCCTCTTACACTTACTGTTTCTTCCAAACATGGCTTATATTGAGCGTCTGCTTGGAGCTTCCAGGAGACCTCCTCTGACTCCTGGTGGGGCAGTACACCACTCCACCCCATTCTGTATCCTGTCATCTGTTGTGTCTCTCTGTCATAATTCCTGTACCAGTTCTTAGTGTTCAGGAGAGCAGAGTCTGTACTGCCTATAGCACAGCCTGTGAGTTAGCAGATTTCTGAATGAAAGGTGGCAGAGAAACCCTACCTGTTTTGAGCATATTGGGACTTCTCTTGTCTGAAAACTTTTTATAGAGCTGCTTCCTCTGCCTGTTTCTTCCACTGGATCTTATCTCATCCGGATTTAGAAGCCCTCCTTTGTCTCTCTTGTCACCTTCTTGGAAAGTGTCTCAGGATTTCTTGTTTAATTGCTAACTCCTCTTGCTAGAAAGTCAGTTCCACGAATGTCTGTTATCCTTGACAATTCTCTCATATTCCTAGTATGCGTTCAGTGCAGGGCACACAGCAGGTTGTAAAAAAGCTACTTGCTGAAGAAGGATCACAGTGATTGGTCCAGGGCCCAGCATCCCAGCATTGGCCAGGCTTCATCATAGTCCTGGCCCTGCCCAAGACATCCAGGACTGATAATTTAGCTAGCGGAAGGCATCCAAGCTCAAAACTCCTACAAAGTGGGATTCCTTCTGGGAGGTGAGTGAAGCTAAGCCCACTGGAAATGATGAATTTGATTGGTAAAGAGCTGATGGGGAAAGATTCCAGACTTTAGGAGCAGTGTGACTCACAGAATCTTGGAACCTTAGAGTGGAATGTAGATAGGATGAGCAAGGCCTGTTCTGAGAAGGGTAAAGAGACCTCGCGCCCTGGGGCTGGGTCGGGACCAGGGAGGGGCAGAGTTAAATCAGCAAGTTGGTGCCAGTTCCCCCCAGGGCCTCAAGGGACCTCCACCTGAGCAGTCAGCTTTTGACTTTGTAAGCAACGGGGGACTTCTAGAAGCTCCAGGGTAAGGAAATGAAATGAAGTAGTCAAGTAATTACTTTGACAACCGGGAGTGGACTGACTGAAGCACAGATATTGGGAGGCATGGGGACCCAGGGAAGGCTATGGGGCAACCCTGGAGATAACTTTAAAGACTGGAGGCAGCTATAGAAATGGAGGAATGCAGAAGGCCTCCTGGCCTCACTGGGTGGGATGGTGGAGGAAAAGATGGAGACACCAGGTGTTAGATACTGAAAACATGAGTTATGGTCACTCATTTGCTGTTAATAGTTTGTGATACGGCTGGTTCACTGATTTCTTTTCCTGAAAATGCAGACACTTCAGTCAAATATTATGCTGGCCTGGGCTTTCACACCTCAAAATAGAACCTCTTTGACTGAGGAGGAAGGAGATTTGATATATGGAACAGATTATTTCCATTACTGTTGCCAAAAGCTTGGTCCTTGTCACTGATGCCAATCCAATAATGAGGACATGGTTTTGAGAAGAATAAAAAAGAAGGTTTATTGCTTTGCTAGCAAAGGAAAAACATGGGAGACTTCTGTTCCAAAAGCTGTGATTTTGCCCATCAGTAGGAATAGGGGGCTTTTATAAAGGTGATTCAGAGAAAATGAGTTAGAGGAGAGATCAGGGAGGAGAAGGTTAGGGAAAAGAATTTGGGAAAAAGATAAAAACATGTAAGTTTTAGGGCCACAAAGGGATATAGTCAAAAGTATCAAGAGAGCCCCTGTTACATTATCTTTTACTTTACCCTCCTTATGTTGGATTCTGGTAAATATGATGGGTTGTAGCAAGACTACCTGTAGAGAGGTGAGACCCTGCTATAACTAGATGGGGCAAAATCCAGGGTGCTAGAAGGGAGGTCCACCCGGAGGGAGGGAGGTGGAGGAAAGACAAGTGACTTGAGCACAGCTAGCGAAGTGGCTTGTCAGGAAGTACCCAAGGGAGGAACCCAGGGCCAGCAAAAGCTGTCAAAGGAGTTTCTCTCTTTTTCTTTTCTTTCTTTCTTTTTTTTTTTTTTTTTTAGTAGAGGTTGAACCCATGGGGTTTTAACCACTGAGCCACCTCCTCAGTCCTTTTTATTCTTTGATCCAGGGTCTTGCTAAGTTGCTTAGTGCCTCACTGAGTTGACAAGGCTGACTTTGAACTCATGATGCTCCTCCCTCATCCTCCCAAGGGGCTGGGATTACAGGCATGTGCCACCACACCTGCCCCAAAGCAGTCTCTAGAGAGATGATAGTGTCTTTTTTTTTTTTTTAATAAATTTTGTTTATTTATTTATTTATTAGTTCTCGGTGGACACAACATCTTTGTTGGTATGTGGTGCTGAGGATCGAACCCGGGCCGCACGCATGCCAGACGAGCGCGCTACCGCTTGAGCCACATCCCCAGCCCCATAGTGTCTTAATGAGGGGTGCAGGGTGGTGGTGGTGGGAAGAGGTGGAGGAAAAAAAAAAAGAGAGATCTCCAAAGAGGAGAAGGCCATGGCTTCCCCAATCCAGACAGGTGCACCTGGCCTCCCAGCCATGCCTCTAAGACAAGAAATCTTGTTTTCTATATCAGGAAGTTGTAGCAAACTGCCTCACTTGTGGTACACCAATGGGGTCTTAACTGCGTCTGAATCCTGAATCAAGCTTATTCTTCTGCAGTCCACTTTCCACAAACTCCTCTTATTCTCTGTCAGCATGAAAGTGAGCCCTTTGCCCCATACTTCTGTGACCCTCTTCTACCCAACCTCCTCAATCCCAACAGTCATCATCAACTCTCTGTCACTGTCTGGGTGATTGATAGCCCACACCTCAGAACCACAGCATGGGAGGAATACTGCTGACTTCAGGTTCCCCAGGGAAGGAAAAAGAGACCCAAATACCTGCAAACCACACACTGTCTTTGCTATAGCATAGTATTCCTCCTTTCCATGAAAAACAAAAACAAAACAAAAAGTCAAAACCCAAACAAAACAAAAACAAACAACACAGAGACAGGGAAAGAGCCATATCTCCTTTTTCAGGTGGGTAAGGGAAGGCAACTATGACCATAGAAAGGGAAACAGGTCTAATTCAACCAAGAATTGAATCTGAAAATAGTTGCAGATTGGGAGGTGGGGTAGGGAAGTTTGTAAAGGTGATAGGAATCACAACATCACGAGATGTCCCTAGAAGCCCATGTCCTTTTCAAACTAAGATTTGAAAATTGTACAATGTGTAAAACCACTGCTTCTCTAGATTTTTATTCCAATTGATTACATTGGTCTCCAGTGACCATTTCCCGGTCCAGGACTAAGTTAGGTCTGGCTCAGGATTAGCGCGCGCCAGCCGCGAGGAGACTGACTGCCTTTTCCCTCTGCTCTGCAGTTTCCTCTGTCCTAACGGTGGCAGAGCGCATTCTGGGATTGAAATTATACTTCTGGGAAATGAAACCAAATCCCTCTAAAGTTTCTAACTCGGGCTATTTTTTGTTTCCCGCTATCCGGAATGACTGAATCTGGGAGCGGAGCGAGGGCGGGGCGGAGGAGCCACCTCGGCGGAAACGGCCCAGGCGGGCTGGCTGGCGGGCGCGAGTACAAGGGGGCTTCTGTGCCTGGCTGCGCCGGGCCCCGCCTGCGCCCTGCTGGGACTGCCGACCGGCGGCTGGAGGCTGGACTCGGACCGGGCGGGTTGGGCGGGGCGGGCGGAGCGCTAACCGCGATCTCTGTGCGTCCCGCAGGCGGGGATCCCGTGCCGCCGCGCCCGGGTGGCCGGCGATGATCACCTAGGAGGCTGGCGCAAGCAGCGGAGCAGCCGGGCGCGGCGACACGCGGCCATGCAGCGGGAGTCGGGGTCAGCCGAGGAGCCCGAGCCCCCGGGGAGGCGGTGGCGCCGCCGGGAGGGCAGGACGCGCACGGTGCGCTCCAACCTGCTGCCGCCCCCGAGCGCGGAGGACTCTGTGGCGGGTGCCACCAAGGGCGAACGGCTGCAGCGGCTCGGGTGTGTCCAGCACCTGGCAGACAACCGGCTCAAGACCACCAAGTACACGCTGCTGTCCTTCCTGCCCAAGAATCTATTCGAGCAGTTCCACCGCCTGGCCAACGTGTACTTTGTCTTCATCGCGCTGCTCAACTTCGTGCCGGCGGTGAACGCCTTCCAGCCTGGCCTGGCGCTGGCGCCCGTGCTGTTCATCCTGGCGGTCACGGCCTTCAAGGACTTGTGGGAAGACTACAGCCGCTACCGCTCGGACCATGAGATCAACCACCTGGGCTGCCTGGTCTTCAGCAGGTGAGCCTGGAGGGCTGGGCGGTGAGCGCGGGGGTCCGCGTAGGGTCTGGGCTCTTCCGGGAACTTGGATGCAGTTTGCCACTGAGCAGGGTTGGCATGGGGCAGGGCTGGCATGTAGAACAGCGCAGGACAGAGGTCCGGCGGCTTGGGGCATAATGACCTGAGCCGCGTGCTGGGTCAAGGCGTTGAGTCTCTAAGGCCCCTCAGCAGCTGTTTCTTGGCCAGAAGGGAGACCTAGATGCTGGGCCATGTGGAGGATCCTCTGTCGGGGACTGTCACTCTGTCTCCGCGTTGGAGACAGAATAATCCCAGGGCTGCAATTTGGCAGGCGCTGAGTACTTCATTCCCAGCACTACTTAAGTTCCTGCTATAGTTCTTGGCCCGGCTCCGTGGACCAGAATGTATGAAACTAAGACTTAGGTAACTTTGTCTTGGAGCAGCAGAGTGAAACCGCCACAAAGTTCATATTGAAGGGTTAGGTTTAATAACTCCACTGGTGCATATGCTAATGTGACCTGTGAGCAGGCCACAGACTGGGTACCATTTCTTAGGTGGCTGCCCAGTTCTCTCTGTCCCCATCCCTCCCTCTCTCTCTTACTCCCCTCCCATTTTTCGCTTCTCTCTTTTCTTTCTTTCTCCTGTTCAGTTTTCTTAGTTTTAACTTGTTTTCCAGATGGAAACAGGCTTTGAGGGGATTGCCCAGGTTAGTACCAGGAAGTGACCTTTCGGTGGGGGTCATTGCACCTTTTTTTCCCCTTTGCTTGTGGGGGTCTGTACAGGATGTCACTGCATCTTCTCCCCTTGGACCCTCCAGTTGGAGAGTCACTTGGCTTGTAGATCCATCTTGGAGCTGTGTCCAGTCGCTGGGACACCCCTAAGGAAGGCAAATGTCTTAGCTGCCATCCAAGGCTCAGCCCATCTTTTCCTCCTGTTTACCTTGCTGGACCTGTGGGGGGGGGGAGATGGGCCTCTTGGAGGACATTTGCTGCGTCCCCCCTCCATTGTGACTGAAGATATCATAGGTAGCTCCTCACCTCTCAGTGACAGATAGTTTCCCTACTATATGGGGGTCATGGTTGTTCCTGCCTCTTAGAATAGCTTAGAAGAAGAGCATGAATGTCTGTCCCTGAACTTGAGTACTTTTTTAAAAAATATTTTTTGTGGAGGTACTGGGGATTGGACTCAGGGGTGGTTTACCAGGCGCCACCCACCTCCTGCTTTTTTTTGGAGGGGGAATCTCACAAAGAAGGGCTTTGCTAAACTGCTGAGGCTGGCCTTGAATTTATAATCATCCTGCCTCAGCCTCTCCAGTTGCTGGGATTATAGGTACCCACTACACCCCACTGAATACTTTTCTTTTGAGATAGGGTCTTGCTATATTGCCCAGATTGACTTGAGTACTTTTAACACTGCATTGGTTGTGTTTCATATTAATTTACATAAACATGGCATAAACAGAGGTTCAGAGAGGTTAAGTAACTTGTCCAAGCTCACCCAGCTACTATATAGGCTCAAGTGATTCTCATTAATGGGATTTGACCTAGGTCTTTTTGACTATCTAGTTTTTCCAATATTCCTGTGCGTGTGCTTTTCAAACTTTTCACATACATTCATTGAGGAGTTTGTTAAAGGAATAGTTTTCTAAAGTGTTAGTCTCAACAGGTCTGGGAATGAGCCTGGGAATCTGAGTGCTGGATTAGCATGGAGGTGAGTTTTATGTGGTGGCCTACAGTTGAGTAATACCTCCCTGCCTGCCCAGAAGAGGTGCCCCTGGCCAGTGGTCAAATATGACCTGGATGGGAAGGGCCATGGAATTTCCTGGCTCCTGTTCACCACAAGTCTCATCAAGGAAGGGAGAGGGACACCACTTACACAAATGTCCTCAGTGTCTCTCTAGTAAGCACTCCAGACAGCTCTACGCCTTTCCTCTGCCCTGCCTGTCCTTTGCACGGCATAACTTGGGTGGGGCTCTAGCTCATTTAAGTCTTAGTACACGTGCCACTTCCTGTTATCACTGAGCCTATAACTCCACAAGCCTCTTTTTAAGAAGTGCTTAGACCTCAGGATAGAGTTTATTTTCAGTTGGTAAAGTGCAACCCATTATGTCGTTTGAACCGTCTAATAATCATCATACCCATTTTGTGGATGAGAAAACTGAGACTGGAATCTAAAAATAGTGTTCACTGTAAGGCTTCATGGGCTTATGAAAACTCAGCTCCACTTGGCCACACCGTCCAGGTTTCCCTTCTTTTCAGCCTCCCAGCCCCTAAATCAAGTTCCTTACCTTCTTATGGAGACAATGGGCCTTCTACCTGGGAAGGCCTCAGGGGTACTCCTTGGTGGCCAAGGGAGGGATGGTAGTTATGTGTGGGGAAGAGATGGAGCCTTCACTCCCTCTCTGACCTGGTTGGTTGTCTCCTTTTCTGCAGAAACTATTAGCATTTGTCATTCATTTCCCAATTGTGCTGAGGACAGTCAGCTCAGTGCCCCACTTCTATTCTTTGTTCCCCAAAAGGCAGGTCAAATTCTCCCAGTTCTTGAAGCTCTGGATAGGGTGTTGCCAGGCTCTGGTGACTGAAGGAGGAGGAGGCTGGGTTCCACTCAGGGCTTGCTGTAGGAACAGAATGTGCTGTGGACTAGGTCCACAAGATAGGATGCTTTTTAGGAGAAGCCTCCCCAAGGTGCTCAGGAGTCTGGGACAAGACATGACTCAGAAGGATGTGACTAGGTAAAGGAGGAGAAGGCAGATGCTGCAGGTAAAGAGTCACAGGAAAAAGGGGTGACCTGTGACAGGGTCAGGGCAATGAGAGACTGAGAACAGGTTATTAGGTTTATGAGGGTGAGGCATGGACATGAAACCTGGGATTGTGGGGATCTGGTACCAGAACAGCCTAGGAAAAGACTTTTATGTGAGGCCACAGTCTGTTGGCTGCCTTTGGTTAATACAGAGCAATCAGAAGTATAGCTGAGAACTATGGGGGTCAATTTTGTATTGTGTCTCTTCCAAGTCTTCAAGTGTGCCATTGTTTTAGTTGCTATGTTCAGTTAAAGGATTTGTTGGCCATTTTTCCTTTTTGTGTTACTGAGACTGGCCCCAAACTCCTAGGCTCAAGTGATTCTCAGGCCTCAGTCTCCCAGGTAGCTGAGACCACAGGTGCATGCCACTGTAGTCGGCTCAAAGCATGCATTAATGCAGCATTTCGGGACACTGACTCTGTCTCTGGAGGATGGCATTATTTTGTATTCTGATGTGGGATCTACAGTGAATCAATCATTTATACCATTACTATTATTTTTTAAAGTAGATGGATACACTATCTTTATTTTATTTATTTACTTTTTTTTTTGAGAGAGAGAGAGAGAGAGAGAGAGAGAATTTTTAACATTTATTTTTTAGTTTTCGGCAGACACAACATCTTTGTTTGTATGTGGTGCTGAGGATCGAACCCGGGCTGCACGCATGCCAGGCGAACGCGCTACCGCTTGAGCCACATCCCCAGCCCCTCTTTATTTTATTTATTTGTAAGTGGTGCTGAGGATCAAACCCAGTGCCTCACATAATCGAGAAAAGTGCTTTACCACTGAGCTACACCCCCAGTCCTGTACCATTATTTTTGTCATTATAATTATTATTAATTTTTTTTCTGCTGTACTGGGGATTGAATCCAGGGATGCTCTACCACTGAGCTAGAGACCCAGCCTTTTTCGTTTTTTATTTTGAGACAGGGTCTCACTTAGTTGTCCAGGCTGGCTTTGAATTTGGAATCCTCCTCCCTTAGCTTCCTAAGATGCCGCCGGGATTACAGGTGTGGACCACCGCACCTGGCATGTCATCATTATTATTGGTTTTTTTTGCAACACTAGGGATTGAATGATGGTAAAGCATGTACTCTACCAGTAAACTATATCCTGGGGCTTGTCCCAAATATAATCTTACTGGCACCTTTCAGCTGCTCTTTCAAGGATGATGGAAGCAGTAGTATTTCTGCAAAATAAACTGATGATCTTCCCCTGAATCTTTTGGGCTCTGTACTGGGATTTGATAGCAGCCCCTCACCCCTCATAATCCTTCCATTGTCCTTTTTTTTTTTTTTTAATTTTTGACCCTGGTTTTGAACCAAGGGGCACTCAACCCCTGAGATACATCCCCATCCCTTTTTATTTTATTTTATTTTTTTTATTTGAGACAGAGTCTCACTAAATAGGGCCACACTAAGTTGTTGGGGATGGCCTCAAATTTGTGATGCTTCTGCCTCAGTCTCCCTAGTCACAGGCATTACAGGCATGCCCACCATGCCTGATCTTCTGTTATCTTTTGGGAAAACAGATAGGGCTGCTCTGTGCTTCTTTAGGAATTGCCCTATTTTTTCCTCACTTCTCTTCCCTTCAATTCTCTCCGCATTCCCCAGCTTGCCAGGGTTACCAGTCTAACTGTGTACACTTCATGATTTGTTGTTTTGGAATAGCTCAGTGGTAGACAGAAGGTGATAGTCTTACCTAACAAAATCCTCCTTTTGTTTTCTTCCCAGGGTTTTCATTATCATGTTTCTCCTCTGTCTTTTCTCCTTCGTGTCCTCCCCGCTTTCCTGGTGAGCAAGCTCCTCCTTGCTGGTGTGCTTAGCTTTGGGGGTATATTCTTTCCTCCCCTCCCTCTTAAAGCAGCAAAGCGTTGTTTCCCTGGGGAGCCCAACATCTTTTTTGTTATTTGGAGTAAAATATTTGCAAAAAGCAGCCACAAATACAAGACCCAGGAGGTGTGAATGAGTATGTGGGGTAATTGAGGAATATTTTGACATTGCCATTCCCATGTTTTTGGAAATAATTTTTCTTTTTTTCTTTGGTACTGGGGATTGAACTCAGGGGCACTCAACCACTGAGCCACATCCTTAGCCCCATTTTGTAGTTTCTTTATATACAGGGTCTTATTGAGTTGCTTAGTGCCTCACTTTTGCTGAGGCTGGCTTTTAACTCACGATCTTCCTGTCTCAGCCTCCCTAACC